AATTGCACATAGCCATCCCTAATTTTCTCACAAGGCTACACAAGATGTAATTACACATAGCCATCCCTAATTTTCTCACAAGGCTACACAAGATGTAATTGCACATAGCCATCCCTAATTTTCTCACAAGGCTACACAAGATGTAATTACACATAGCCATCCCTAATTTTCTCACAAGGCTACACAAGATGTAATTACACATAGCCATCCCTAATTTTCTCACAAGGCTACACAAGAGGTAATTGCACATAGCCATCCCTAATTTTCTCACAAGGCTACACAAGAGATAATTGCCATCCCTAATTTTAAACAGATAGACTAGAAGGAAAGTAGTTAATGAACATCACCAATCGACAACTCTACTTTTCTCCGACTGAGTAGCGGGTTTTTCTCTTCTAGTGTAGAGTTCCAACCTGCAGTAGGATTCTATGTTTTGTTTATGCTGAGAAGTATGCCTTTTTCTCTACACACATTAACTTTCATAAGTAATCCAGTGCTTACCACATAATATTTTTAACCAATAACAGAAAGCACTTACTATAAAAATAAGGTATATAAAATTTATTTATAAGTTTGAACATGTCAGTTATTTTTCTCCATGTTAAAGGTACATGCCCGCCCATATGTGTGTTTTGTGTGTAACAGATAAATGAAAAGGCGTTCACAGTACATGTTAAAGTATAAAACAGTCTGTATGACAGTCTTCATGGGCCACCTAGTGGCTGAAAGCTTATAACGCTAATAAAGAGGGCACCGAGAACTGTAGCGGGCACAGCATAGACAGTCCATTGCATACCATATACTAATATTCATGTGACTGTAGTTTTAAAACAAAATACTTCACACCGAGAACTGTAGCGGGCACAGCATAGACAGTCCATTGCATACCATATACTAATATTCATGTGACTGTAGTTTTAAAACAAAATACTTCACTTTCTTTTCAAAGTATCATATTTATTGTCGTAGTAGTTCTGACCCCAACTGAGAAGTATCATATATGTCGTAGTTCTGACCCCAACAGAGAAGTATCATATTTATCACAGTAGTTCTGACCCCAACTGAGAAGTTTCATATTTCTTGTTGTAGTTCTGACCCCAACTGTGAAGTTTCATATATGTCGTAGTAGTTCTGACCCCAACTGAGAAGTATCATATATGTCGTAGTAGTTCTGACCCCAACTGTGAAGTTTCATATATGTCGTAGTAGTTCTGACCCCAACTGAGAAGTATCATATTTATCACAGTAGTTCTGACCCCAACTGAGAAGTTTCATATTTATTGTCGTATTTCTGACCCCAACAGAGAAGTTTCATATTTATTGTCGTAGTTCTGACCCCCAACTGAGAAGTATCATATTTATCACAGTAGTTCTGACCCCAACAGAGAAGTATCATATTTGTGACAGTAGTTCTGACCCCAACTGAGTGACTTCTAATCTCCATAATGCCCTGATTTCAGGATAGGGCTGGTACACCGCTCAAGTTTTGTTTTCCTCTCCTTAATTCTGGCATCTTCCTCAAGCATTTTCTACATAAACGATGACCACGTTACATCCAGATACTTCTTTGCACTGTCTTCAACATTTTTAGTAAGTGTATTTTACTACTAGAAACAGAGATATATAAATATTTGAAGTTTGAGTTACTCTTAGCTATATATATATATTTTAAAATACTTATTAGTTAATAATATTGTTGCTTGTTTGAAATATATTTGGTAAAATATTCAAAAAATTAATTTTATAAAAAGACAAAGCTTTGTTGTGTAAAAGCACCCAAACATTTTATAATCAGTTTGTGTAGATTCACATTTTCATTAGTATCTTACACTTATACTGATTAAAAATACTAATTGTGCCAAGGATATACAATTCCTTTACAAGATGATAGTTATTGTATTTAATTAAATGATTGATTTAAGTATCAAAACTGTCATACAAATAAATTACTTCATCTTGTGTTTCAGGGAATACTATCTCTACTTCTCTTTGTTGCTTGTGATGAAAATGTAAGTAGTAAACCTGTTGTCATGAGTGGGTAGGGGCTTTAAGTCATTGTTACTTGTTTAAATGAACCGGTATAGACAAGGTACAAGTGCCATACAATATCGGCTTTAAGTCATTGTTACTTGTTTAAATGAACCGGTATAGACAAGGTACAAGTGCCATACAATATCGGCTTTAAGTCATTGTTACTTGTTTAAATGAACCGGTATAGACAAGGTACAAGTACCATACAATATCGGCTTTAAGTCATTGTTACTTGTTTAAATGAACCGGTATAGA